TGTAGAGTAGAATTAGTGGGGCAGTGGACTGAGATGAGGCCTGAGAGGAAGGGGGGAACGGATTATGCGGAACATTTTAGGTTATGGCAAGCAAGGTATTTGGATTTCATCCTAAGTACAATGGAGTTTTAAGGAGGGAGCAAGACAATCATGAATCGATGCTTTGCATCAGGCGCGTGGATCATGAGGAGCCCGCACAAACCTATACAGAGTGAAACACCCCCCGCCAAAGACAAATTCTCACTACACTCCGACTGCAGCAAGGGCTGCCGCAGACTTCTCTCCTCAGTGCCAAAGGAGACGACGCCCTGACAATGCCAGCTCCCAGTGAGTCCTTGGGAAAGATGCAGCCATGCAAAAACTGACAGCCTAAAATGAGGAAGAAGCTGAGGGGCTGACGAACCTAGGTGGCAACTTGGAGGCACAAGCTCAGCTACACAGCAGCCCAGGTTTCTAAGGAAGTATTTCAACCACAGAAAACAAAGAACACAGCATTCTCCTCACCCCCAAGGGCCAGGAATCTCATCTTTTCTGAGTCAAAACCACTTCTACTGGAACGTTTTTATTGCACAGGGGAAAAACCACATTTAATTTTGCTTCAGTACCCATATTTGGTAGCAAAAGGTGGATTCTTTTATATATTAGTTTTCTATGGCTGTTGTAACAAAGTACCACAAACTAGGAGGCTTAAGTAAGAGGAAGTCACTGTCTCAATTCTAGAGGCTAGAAGTCCAAGACCATGGCGTCAGCAGAGTTGGTCCTTCTGAGGGCTGTGAGGGACAATCTGGTCCATGCCTCTCTCCTTACTTCTTGTGGTTTACTGGCAATCTTTAGATTCCTTGGCTTGTAGAAGCATCACCCCCATCTCTGCCTTCATTTTCCCACAGCATTCTCCCTGTGTCTGTCCAGATCTCCCCCGCCTCCTTCCTTTTCTTCATTAAGGACATCAGCCATATAGGATTGGGGCCCACTCTAATGACCTCACTTTAACTTGATCACCTCTGTAAAGACCCTATCTCCAAATAAGGTCTCATTCTAAAGTACTAGGGGTTAGGACTCCAACGTGCCTTTTTTGGGGGGACACAATTCAAGCCCTAACACCTTAAACAACAAAGTTAAAGGTTAGATAGCATCTAAACTCTGGGCTCAAAAGTACATCAAATAAAAGATGCCAAGAATAATTTTCCCTTATTTCATGTTTTGATTGTATTTCTTTGCCAAATAAAAAAAAATCAAAGGTTTGTTACCCTACGATGAAATGAATTACCTTTAATAACTGCCATATATAGGGAATTTACCCTGCTGCCAATGGCTAATTTTCATCTACTTGTTAGAATAATTTTGGAGAGATTATAACAAATTAGAAATCTTCCACACTTCCTCTCCTAACAAAGTTTTAAAAAGACCAAATCTTTTTGGCTGTGTCCAAAATATATTTCTGTAATTGATGAGAACTGGGAGAGGTTTTATACACCTTCTTCTTGACATGAAACATTTGTCCCTTTAAAATTTAAAGTGCAAGGAATAAAGTTCACAAATGGGTTCTGCACGAATTTATCTTTTGCTCTGTATATAAAGTAAATCTTAAAAGATTTCATCAGATGGAAGTTATCTGACACTAAAGAAATAAATGTACAGGCCAGGCGAGATGGCTCCCACCTGTAATCCTAGCACTCTGGAAGGCTGAGGCCAGAAGATCGCTTGAGGTTAGGAGTTACAGACCAGCCTGAGCAAGAGGGAGACCGTTTCTACCAAAAATACAAAAAATCAGCTGGTGTGGTGGCGCATGCCTGTAGTCCCAGCTACTTGGGAGGATGAGGCAGGATGGCTTGAGCCCAGGAGTTTGAGGTTGTGTTGAGCTGTGATGATGCCACTGCACTCTACCAGGGGTGAGAGAGAGAGACTGTTTCAAAAAAAAAAAAAAAAAGTACAAAACATGGGTCACCACTTCATTGTATCAAAATCAGATTCAACAATAGTGAATATAATGAAACTGTAACTGAAAAGTGAAGAAACTGAGGTCTAACCCTAAATGTTTTTTGTTGTGTCAAGCCTGGTTGCTTGGCACATTTCCATGTTTTTTTAAAGTTAATGATAGTGATGCCTTCTACTGTCTAATATCCATTCCAGTAATCCACTGTCTCTAGAGCTAGGTTATCTTTTCCTTACAAATTGCTTTTCTCGTTTAACAAATCTTTACCTGGACTTATTTTACAATGATTTTCATTCTGAATTGTGACCTCAACTCTCAAAATTCCATGAGTTACTTTGATCAGTGTGGACAGAAATCTGACAATTTCTTATGAATCTTATTCTTCCCAAAGTTTTCAAGCATAATTTAAAAGTCATTTGTTTTCTAGGCATCAAAAAGAACTTGCTAATTTTAATTATTTGACCAGAATTATTTCCTTTAGCTCTTAAGGTCCCGAAGCTATTTTACATGAAAAAAAGCAAATACAAATAGTGTTATGTCAGGCACCTTTCCAAGGGCTCTACAGATAATGGTCTAACACTTACAGGCACGCTTAATACAAATGACAGATGAGGGCATGAAGGCACGGAGAGGAAAGTAACTTGTCTAAGGCTAATACACAGTAACGGTGGAACTGGGAGTCAAAGCAGAGTTTTGGGGCTTCAGAATCTGTGCTCTCCATCACATGTCATACTTGCCATTGAAATAACACAAGAAAATGTTTTCTTTAAATTTTATGAAAGACAAAGCAAATACAGAAATTCAAAGTTGCATTTCAGCAGCCACCATGAATTACGCTTTCACCTTATGTAAAAGTTACTTTATACAAAGCTTTAAGAAACATATCTATTGTGTAGTTGTATCAATTTTTTTCAAATCCAAAGAACAAGGACATAGCTCAGATTTATTTAAATAAGCCTTAAAATCAGAATTAAATTGACGAATGAAGTCATGTATTGAAAAGTGTTATTTTACATCCATTTTGGATATATTTATCACAAACTAAAAAAGTAGAAGCATAACATTTGCCAGTATTTTTAAAAACCATGTCCAGATACAAATTAGTTTGAAAGTTCTTGAAAATTAACGATTAAGCAAGTGATTTGTTTTTTTCCCACTATTTAACCATAACTGCAACAACCTTTGAAGAAACACTACTAGTGAATTTTAGACAATAAAAACTATAAAACCAGACTGTTGGCAGAGGAGACAATAAAATGTAAGTTAGAAAATTCATAAACATACATTTATTCAGGAAATGCAATTACTAGAGTCTTTGATACTTCAATGATCATTCCACATTATAAAATATTCACAACATGTATTCTTTTAAGTCTACAGCAAGGCATGCTGACATTCTTTTCAGATAAGCCATAACCATTTCTTCTATTAAATGTTATAATATCCACTTTAATTGTAGACAAAGTACTTGGTCCAAATTACTTAAGTACTTCAGCAAAAAAAACTTAGAAGAGGAGGACAATGATTTAAAAAAAAAAAAGAAACCACATTCATCAAATCCCAAAGAACTAGGCTGCTATAATCTAGTAATCTACTAATGGATAAAGTGGTCACATTATGATAGCACATAATTATCAACTACTATATTTCTCATATGCAATTTTTAAGCATGCTTCCTCAAATAAACATTTATTTTTTTGTAAGTTTTAAAGGCAAAGGGGGCAGAAAGATGACAGACATTAAAAGTTTACATTTAAACTACTAGTAGATAATATGTTTTAAAAAAAGGTAGACTGTAATTATTTCCCAAATAAGGTATGCCAAGTACCTTTTATTCTTAAAGAAATTACTAAGAAATATAATCACTCATTAAGCACCTGTAATTTTTTTTTTTTTTTTTTTTTTTTTGAGACAGAGTCTCACTCTCTTGCCTGGGCTAGAGTGCTGTGGCATCATCCTAGTTCACAGGAACCTCAAACTCCTGGGCTCAGGCGATCCTCCTGCCTCAGCCTCCCAAGTAGCGGGGACTGCAGGCACACGCCACCATACCTGGCTAATTTTTTCTATTTTTAGTTGTTTGGCCAATTTCTTTCTATTTTTAGTAGAGACGGGGTCTCCCTCTTGCTCAGGCTGGTCTCAAACTCCTGAGCTCAAACGATCTGCCCGCCTCGGCCTCCCAGAGTGCTAGGATTACAGGCGTGAGCCACCGCACCCGGCCCAAGCACCTGTAATTTGAATCATTCTATTCTGATACTTCCAAAGAGTCCAGTGTAATCCGATCATTTTATAATGGAGAAAACCAATGGTTCTCACCCATGGGTATCCACTAGAACTACTTGGAAACCTTTGAAAAAAAATGAGTGATTCTGATTAGTTGCTATGGGATGAGACTTGGGTAACAATACTTTTTAAAGTTCTCTGGGGCATTCCAATACACGGCTAAGGCTGAGAACCACTAAGTCAACCCATTTTGAAATATCAAGAAAATAAATGGAAATTGTTTGTAATTTATAAGTCAAATACCTATTATATACTTACTGTGTGCCTAATTTTATTCATGAATCCATTCATAAGATGAAAATTCCCTACATTTCCTCACTATACTGGACCACTACTGTACATCTTTGCCACTGAATGACTGAATTTTTTTATGGTCAAGATTTAAAATTCTGGGATATACTATAAAAACTGCAGTAATGAAAACAAACTACTGCTATTCATGCTTAACAGTAGCAAGCAAACTACTGTATTTGGCTCTTTTAAACTATCCTTATTTTAAGAATTATAAATAGGTGCCAACTCACACAAAGAACAGATTGTGGATTAGTGTAGAAGAAAAAAAATAGCTTACTCAACTTACTAAATTGCAACACCAAAAAAGACTTAATTTGGCTGAAAGTTCTGAAACAGCTAAGACACCAAACCTGGAAGCTATAATTTATAATGAAATGCTGATACGTCCTTAAAAGCTACTGCAGCAGCTGTAGCTATACTAAAACAATATTTCTTTAGGGTTTACTTACCCTGTAATGCAAGAATACTAGCATAACAATAATATTACTGTTTGTATATGCACCAATAACTCTCTTTAATATATAAAGCTCTACAACAAATACCTCTAATAATTATACAATTAAATTAAATTAAGTCCATACCTCTTCTATACTACTTTGGTCTCAACATTTTAAAAACATCAATTGATTTTGATAATACACAATTTAACAACATGATCCTATCAATAACAAGCACATTTTGTAGTGGATTAAAGACACATTCAACCATGCAATCCAGTGTTCAATACCTAAATGATAAATAACTATGCTGATTGACTTTTATTCTGAAAAAGCACTGAAAACTGGAATAATCTTCTAAGACTCACAATGCTCACAAACATGCAGAAAAAAGTATACATTTCTATTCTTCATGAAGGAATATGACAAAATGTCCACTTTTTTACACAGGGTCAATAATAATGCCAAATTCCTTATATATTTCAATCTATTATCTTCTTTTTAGTATCTGTCACTTAAAATTTTTTTTTTAAAGTACAAATGTTCCTGTAAGTTGTAACTGAAAATGAACCTCAACTCTGATTTCAGCCTTTGGGAAGACCTCAGTCCCAGTCATACACTAATAGCTGCCTTTTAGTAAAACAGTGACATCCAGTGGACAAATGAAGTAAAGTATCTCTCAAAATTCCCGTCATTAAAAAAAAAAATCCCCATCATTATTTCAAACATAAACAAAGACTGTGTCTGTAAATCCAACCATTTTAACATGAGTTCTTACTCATTTTGACAGAATCTACAGATTCCTATGGATACTGACCTCATAATTTCTATATATCTTAAATATATCTTTTCTTCCTATTTAAAATTCTTTAAATTGAGCTAGTAAGAATATGTAACTCTTGAGACTAGTGAGGTTAAAGATATTACTTTTTCCCCCTTGCTTCTATCTCCCACCACAAAATAACTAGTTCATCTCTAGGAATGGAAGGACCAAAATATAAGAAACACTGTGTATTTAAATAAAAATGAATAGCATTAAAAAATTTGCAAAAGATGAAATCTGGCCCTGTTTTATATGTATAATTTATGATATACTGAATATAAATAGAAAGGGATGTAATGCTAACAAATTAAGTCCTCTTGCCTCAATGCTCAAATATTAAGAATACATATTTTAGCAATGATTGTTTCAGTGTTTAAAAACTTACTTTTATAAATCAGTATAAATGAATATCCATTAAACATTATGTTTAAAAGTAAAAAACTTCCACTGTGCTGAGTTATGATTTACCATAGATTATGTATGTGTGTTCAAAGTACAAAATGCAGCAGTGATGTTAACACTGACAATGTAATGAACTGCTGCAGGTGAGACTGCTACGTTTAATTTCTTGGAAAACTGTAAAGAAATTTCACAGGTTAAAAAAAAATTGACTAAGCAAAAAAAAAAACAAAACTGGAGAACTGTTACTTTTAAATAAGCAGCCAAATGAAGAAAACTTTTTTTTCTAAAAAAAGATTAAGAATGTAAAAGTACATTTTAATATTAAAAAAGCATCTTAAAAAATCTGTAACAAGTTTATGACAAAATCTGTATTTGAAAAAGGCCTGTAAAAACAGCAGGACAGAATTGCCCTCATCACCTTTTACTTCTTCTCGTCAGAAAAAAGTGTATGCATTTCTGGAACCATAAATGATGTTAAAATAGGCATTTATAAAATGGTAAGGAGAATTTCATGGGAAGTTTCTGTTTTTTACAATCATCGGCATTGCGGCCATCAGTAGGTCACAAGTAAAACTTCTCTAGCTAAAAAGCAAAATGGAATATCAAGTTTTGATCTGTATTAGGTCTGTTGCCTGCGTTTTGCTGATCTCATTTTTTCAAAGCGTGACTCCATTTCTTCCAAGACTTTAGGTGTATATCGAACAACTAACTTAACCTTTCCTTGAGCGGCTTTCAGCAGTTCTACAGCTTTTTCATGATGTTCTCCTTCCACACTCTAGAAAAAACACACATTAATAACTAGGTTTAAAAAGTAACTCAAAATGCAAAAATGTTTAAAACACATATAAGTAAACAAATTTTAATATAATTTCAACAGTATAAAACTAAGAAATAATCCTGCTTATCATTTTAATCATTGTGAAATCCTCTGCTACATCATATTGTTCAGTCTAAAATTGGTTTTAAGATCCAAATAATTAGCACATCAATCTACATGTCCTATTATTTTACTACGTTAGAAATACATCAAGCAATTGCCATTCTAGAAAAGTAAAATCAGGGTAGATTTCTAATTTAATGTATTGCCTTAACTACTAAACAGCTTAATTATGTCATTAAAAAAACATACTAGCACTGAGCATTGCTACTTTACATGGGAAAGCAACACACACTTAAAGTGCCTTTTTTTTTTTTTTTAAAAGAGATAGGACCTTGCTCTGTTGCCCAGGGGCTGGAGTTCAGTGGCATGATCATAGCTCACTGTAACCTTGAACTCTTGGAATCGAGCTTCTACCTCAGCCTCTCAAATAGCTAGGACTACAGGTATATGCCACCACACCCGACTGATTTTTAAAAAAATATCTGGTAGAGATGGGGGTCTACATTGCCTAGACTGGTCTTGAACCCCTGGCCTCAACTGATCCTCCTGCTTTGGCCTTCGAAACTACTGGGATGACAGGTGTGAGCCACCACATCCAGCCTTAAAATGTTTTTTGTTTTTTTTTTTTTAAATTTCAGCATATTATGGGGGTACAGATGTTTAGGTTACGTATGTTGTAAAATGCTTTTTTTTTTTTAAAAAAAGGATTACTGTACTGAATACTACTGCCTAGGATTCCTTCAGAGGATTTCCAAACTACAGTTTCTTAGATTTTCCCCTAAATTTTCTGTTTCCATAGTTCAAATAAGCCCACAAGTGGTCACAACACATTACTACATATAGGAATAAAATTCATCCTTACCACTCCATTAACAGAAAGGAGCTGATCTCCTCGTTTGAGTCCCCCATGTCTATCAGCAATTCCACCTGGAATTATTCGAGATATATAGATTGGAGAGTTTTGTTCTTTGCCTCCCATAATATTGAATCCAAGGCCTTCTTCTGTTTTTGGTAGCTCAACAACTCGAGGATGAGAATGTCCTTCGCTGGCAGCAAATGCAGCAACAGTAGCCTGAAAGAAAATTTTATGCACTTAAAAACATGACCTCTGATACTTCAGTTCTTTTGTCTCTTCTTAAAAATTACTTTTGAGACACATATTTTTGATATTTGAATGTCTGCAAATTCACTGGTAGTTCTGAGAAGATAAGTTAAGCAGGTTTTTTAAAAGATGACAAATGAGTAAATACTCTGGGATTATGTAAGAAATACTATGATTTTTCAGGTCACTCCTAGCCCATCCAGTGCCCAGTCTTTTGCAAAGTCCCATGTGTACAGGGCTTGGCAAGCAGGCTTGCTGAGCACGTGAACACTGTGCATGTTAGGGAGAACCCCTGCTCCAGCATGCCAGCAGCCCTGAGCTTCAGGTCCAGCAGCCCAGCTCTTTCAGGGGCCTTTGCGCAGGACAAAACCTACCTACGTAATCCACATAGCGGTGCGCTTATATGTAGTCATTTTGGCTACTATACTAATTGTACTATATACTAAATAACTAAAATGGCAAGAAATAACTCAATATTGAGAAAAAGAATGGCATATACAGCCAACCTGAATTTTTGTTGTTTTTGCTAACTATCTAATTACAACTAAAAAACCCCATAGAAGATGAAACAAAGCCATATCTTTTTTAAAGCTCAAGTTTAGACTAATCTAAATTCCAAAGTTGGAATATTTTGTTTCATTTTGCTTTTAAAGGTAATTAAGTAATCTGGTACCATATTTTCTGTGATGGATTGGGATGTATAAGCAAAAATGGGAGGAAGGAAATCAACATTTGTTGAATACTCAACTATCTTGGAAGCTTTGAAAAAGGCCTCGTTTTTCAGATAATGGAACTGAGGCTCAGAAATTCAGTAAGCTGTGTAGGTTATATAATTCAGGAATTAAAACCAAGTTTCTATGGCCTTTTCTACTCTGATAAACTACACCCATATGTTTAAGTGTTTGTATTCAACAGAGAATCCAGTATTTTCTTTTGTGAGCCAATAGCTATCAATGAAAAATTACCTGCTAATGACTAATTCTTGTATAAGTCACCTACTGCTGATATTACCTTATTTTAACCACATGACAGACATTGAAGTCAATGTCTGAATTACTTGAGGAAAACACTGGCATAGAAATGCACATAAACCTGCCACCTGCAGCCCTGAAGAGGTAACCTACCACTGACATTATACCAGATTTGCAGACTTAAGGTAAAGGAGAAAGTAAAGAGTAACCTGGAGGAGTACTCCAGCCCTACCATTTACTATTTGAGTGGTTTGAGGCAAGTAACCTTATCGTGATGCTTCCTCATTAATAAAAATAAAAATTCATATTTCAGAATCTGATGAAAATTCACACCTATGTATAATATGTATAATGTACACAACACAATTATGTATTGCATGATCTATATTTGTAAGCAAATACACTTTTGATGCATTATCTAAACTGCATGATAAAATATCTCATGTAGAGCCAATGAAAAAAATGTCCCATTTCTTAGTACTTGAGTTTACTGTAGCTTGAAAGATACATGTTAGTTTTCAAAATGAGCTTATTATGAATCTAATAATTGCATATTTTTAAGCCTCTAATTTATGAATAACTCTCACTTTTAGTAAATTAAAAAAACGTACCTTTGCAGTTGCATTAGCTCTCACTTCAGGACTGCTACTGATGTCCACAGTCTCATAGACATGTTCATACACCTGTAAAACCCAGAGTTATCATATTTTAAATCTCAGAATATACCACCTTTGAGTTCTTTGTGAAGTTAATGTGTGAAAATTTTAGGCAAAGTTATGCATCTTTGTAAAATGTTTTTCTATTACAATTCCAAAAATGAGAGGGATAAGTTCTAATGTTTTCTAAAGTTTATTTTCTTAAATTCTGAACCCAAATTTCAGAGTATTATCTTAATTAACTCAAATTTTTAGTAAATCACATTTACTCACCTCTCTCACAGCATTGCAGAACTCACTTTGAAGGACCCTTTGCAAAGCCTGAAGTTTCTGTGGTGGTACCTCTCCACTCCTTTGCAGTTTTTCCAACAATTCAATTGCTCTACAAATATCTAGAGTTAAACACACACACAAAACACTGATAGATAATTTTCTCTGAGGATTCTCTCAATGCCTATGTAACAGTGTAAGCAGTTAGGATTCATTCCTCAAACATTAACAAGAAATATGTAGAAGACAGAAGGGAAAAAATTATGCATATGCACACGTGTACGTGGGGAAAGACATGGGGAAAGACATTATAAATGTGTACACACATGGACAGTGGGAATGTAAAATCTGAGAATAACTTTTGCAGATTAGGAAAAAATACTAATGTTGCAAAAATATAAAATTTGGAAAACAGCATCTTTGAGAGAATATAAAACACCAAATGCCATAGGAAAGGGCCAGGGCTCAAATGTGATAGACACATCAACATTATACTGCTTCAGAAAAGCTGGCAGTAATACCAAAAACTATTTAGTCAAAAAATTTACCTAATTATCAGTATTAGCAATGAAAGCACTGAACAGTACAAAACACTAGTGAAATCACTGTTCATTTCCTGAAGGAAACATGATACATATGTAGATATGAACTGTTCAATAACAGATACAGTAAGTGGTAGGGACACATATAAAACAGTACAAATGAATAAAATAAAATAACTGGTTTGTTTTCAACTTAGCATCATTAACATAATGATTTAATTCAGACAAATTCAAACCTATACATACGTTTAAAAAATAGAAAAATAAAAACAATTAGCTTTGTCAATTTGGTCTTAATACTACCTGTATGACCTTGGGTAAGTTATTTAACCTCCTTGTGTCTCAGTTTCTTTCACTGTAAAATGGAACTAACAGTACTTTCTTCATAAAAGTGAGGAAGTTATAAGTTCAGTTGATGACTGAACCAAACAATATATAAAAAAGGGTCTAGCAACCATAAATGTTATGTTACATAGGCACTAATTAATCAAGAAATACTAAGGAGTTATATACATTTATACAAATATATGAAGCATGTTAGACAATTCTTATTGGGAAGTATGAGGATACCTGCTTTATGAATTAAGAAATTTCAGAAAATTCAGGGTCATGTCATAACACTGTTAATGACTATACTTTAGTTTTTTTTTTTTTTTTCCAGAAACTATTTTTGTACACTTTTTGTATGCTGGGGGCTAAAATACCTACTATTCTACTATTCCTTTACCTCTTTTTGACTTAAGTGGGAGAAGTTCCTAATTTCATGTTAAACTAAAGGACTGGAAATTTTTCTTTATAGAATTAGAGGTAATTTGTGTTTGCAGATGGAAAACTATGAATGAATGTAGTAAAGAAAGCAAGCAGATTTTTCAATTTCAGGTTAAAAAAAAAAAAGCTTAAACTGATGTTAATCAAATACAATGGAAACAGACATTCCCCATTCTGATTTCCCACCACCCAAATGGCTGATAAATGGAGACTATTTGTTCATCAATTATTTTGATTTATAACGTTACAACATATAAGCCATATAAAAATTTCCAATTAACAAAAATATTGAAAAAAGTAAATACTCTTTACTAAGTATAAACTGTACCTAATATGTGCTCAAATTGTGTTCCATTGAATGTTTTGAGGATTTAGAAGGCACTCTAAATCATGTGCATATAATCTTGAGCAGATGTACTAATTTTACACTGTAGGATTGTTGGGAGCATTTGTTAATAGAATCTCTCAGAATGTTAAATAAGAATCAGAGTTGCTGTAATCTGACTTTCTTATCCTGTTAAATGGCAATTTCAGTATTCTTGAGGGAATAGTTCCAGGACCTTCCTCCTATACTATGGGATACCAAAATCTGCAGATGCTCAAGTCCCTGATATAAAGTGACATATAATCTATGCACATCCCCCCCATATACTTTACTCATCTCTAGATTACTTACAATACTTGATACAGTGTACATGCTATGTAAATGTTGTTATACTATATTGTTTAGGGAATATGACAAGGAAAAAAAAGTGTGCACATGTTCAATACAGATGCAAATATTTCCCTCTGAAAATTTTCGATCTGCAGTTGGCTGAATCCACGGATGTGGAACCCATTTATATGGAGGGCCAACTGTAATTCATCCTATAAAGGGGCTAAGCAGTTTATTGTAGACCTGAAAAGAACTCTGAAACAGCAAAAAACAAAGCCATGACTATCAAAACTAAATGCCAGAGGTGAAGTTCCACATTTTGTGCTGCACTTAAAAATACAGGACCATCAACATATTATATCCTACAACTAGCTTTCAACGAAAAACATCTATTTCTCTTAACAGCAAATAGATTTGTTCCTATCTATAAAGCACAGGGCCTTTGTGCTCAGGAGAAAGATGTCATTCTTAGCCTACCTTAGCGAGTCTCCCTAGAGTAACCTCTCCTGTGTCATAAAATGATGTTTTAATTAATGGCCTGGTAGGATGAAGGGAGACAATCTCATTTATAAAGAAGCTTCCAAATGATGAACACCATAAGGAACAAACTAACAATGTTAAGTGCACATTTGTTTGTGGGAATGCATGAGGAAGGAGGTTTCTAAGTACAATAATTCTAAAAATGTATTTCCTTCTTAGAGAAGGATATTAATATTCAAACTGTAATTGAAATGTTATTATGTGCAATATAATTTCAATCTCCATCTTATACTTTGTTTACCACTAGCACTCAAAATGTTTACTTGTACTTCTTGACTCCTACTTATAACTTACAATGCTGATGTGTCAAAAGCATGCTTGAAATTGTTTGAAATAAAGGATCTGAGGGGGACAGAATGGAATGTCGGAAATCTGTAATAATCTGTAACAGGACCCTGGTAGGGGCATAGCCAGATATTTTCACAGGCTTGTAGCTAATTACTCAGCAGAACAGGTTTTATTTTCCTTGACAGTCTGCTCCAAGAAGCAATTAACCAACCACAGTTTGCGATTACAGGGTTTGTAAAGAATGAATAATACTGCACCTGCAAGTGTTTTACAATCTACCACTATTCAGCCTGCTTGCATAACCTACTTTCCAAGACTAAATCAGTAGGACTGCTTGTTTTTAAAGCACCCTCTCCATTCCTGGGAAGAGCACCAAAGCTAGCAAATACAACCCAAATACAAATAAGGTTGTGGTGGAAGTAATGAAGGAGTTTGTATGTAAACAAAAACGGGACGGGGGCTGTGTGTCTGTGGAAATGCATTGCGTCTCTGGGAAGTGGGTGACACGCGGGTGAAGTCGGAGACACTGGGTTTGTGCGTGCGTTTGTATAGGCAATGAGTGTAGTCTGTCCGAACCGGGTGTGTGACGTTAGCTTCTCGGGTTTACAGATCTCTGAATGCCGCGTCTGCTGTGCCCACGCAGAAAGCGCGAGTGCGGCGTATGGCTGCGAACGCGGGCAGGTTGTGTTTAGTTGGGCTATGCCCCAGGACAGTCCGTGTCAACAGAGGGGAGCTCTGGGTATCAATCAAAAGACCGTAAGCGCCCTCCCAGAGCAGGGCTCAGCGACGTCGGCGGTCTCTGGCGCCAGCGCGAGGGACAGCCTGGCTCCGGGCCTCGGACCCTGGGCCACCCCTACTACCCTCCAGCGACATGTTACTCCCCAACCCCTCCACCCACCTCAGTCCAAGCCTCGGCCGCACTCACCCCTCTCCAGCCGCACAGGTTCCCCCAGCGCCGCCATCTTCTCCCTTAGCCTGCAGACACACAGGAAATGACGACAGAGGGGCTGCGGTGGAGGGGCGGGGCCCAGCGGGAGCCGGAAAGGCGAGGACCGGCCAGTATCGCGAGAGCAGGAGGGAAGGCTAGGAACTTCGCAGGCATTCCCCAGCGTTGAGGGTACGTGGATGTGAGGCTTTGAAGGTTAGCCTTGCTCAGTTTTCAGTGGAGGCGAAGTTCTGTCCTCCCCGGCCTCATAAGGTTGAAAAGAGCTGTTTTCCCGACTCTTGCTCCCTGCCTCGAGCTTCACGCCTTATCCCGCCCTCTTGGAACTCGTGACTGCACGTAGCCTGGATTCCAGGCTCTATGACTCTGGACTACTCACTTACCCTCCCTCGGCCTCAGTTTCCCCATCTGTGCGACGAGAGGTCTTATCTCCGAGGTCCTTCTAGTTCTTAAACTCTGAGATTCGATGACAAGCGTGTAAATGACGTATTGTAAATTCTTTTGTGGCAACATTGCTTTAATTTAAAAAATCCAGTGCTTGAATCTTTCCTTCTTTCTCTGAGAGTAAGGGTTGAAAGTACAAACAGCGTGAAACATACCTGGGTGAGGGACAGAAGAAAGCACTTTGGTGCACCACGAAGTATAATTTTAGGAAGCTAATTTGAATCTTGGTGTAAATGAAATGTTATGGAGTAAAAGATATTCTTAATGCACTACGGATTCTTAGGGCCATTTTTGAAAATTTCATGAACCAAGAAAAATTTTAGTATTTGAATTCGACTAATATTTATCCAAGCCCTTAGTCTGTACTGATACCGTTTCAGGTGCTTTCACATCCAAGATTTTAACGGTTCATGACAGAATTTTTTTAATAACCTCCTGGTTGCCCCTAGCCCACCCTTTCCATTCAACTTTATTTTTTTTCTAATCCATCATGAATGTCACCAGTATGCTTCCCCTACTCTTGGACCCTGATTTTATCATTACAGGTTCTGTACAGAAACTTCGAATGGTTTCTCTCTCTCTTTCCTATTTCTACCAAAAAGAGAAAAATTAGCCAGGTGTGGTGGTGCGCACCTATAGTCCCAGATACTTGGGAGACTGAAGCAGGAGGATTGCTAGAGCCCAGGAGTTTGAGGTTTCTGTGAGCTAAGCTGATGCCACGCACTGTAGCCCAGGTGACAGAGCAAGACTGTCTCAAAAAAAAAAAAAAAAAAAAGCCAAAAAACAAAACTGCACATAAAAATGACTACAAAAATACAGTAATTAATATAAATATATATTTATTTAAATACAGATTCCCTTGAACTTCATAGACCTTTTTTTTTCTTTCTTTTTTTTTTGAAACAGAGTCTCCCTCTGTCATCCTGGCTAGAGTGCAGTGGTATCATCATAGCTCACTGCAACCTCAAATGCCTGGACTCCGCCTGCCTCAGCCTCCCGAGTAGCTGGGACTATAGGTATGCACCCCCATGCCTGGCTATTTTTGGTAGAGATGGGATCTCACTCTTGCTTAGGCTGGTCTCGAACTCTTAACCTCAAGCAATCCTGTGGCCTTGGCCTCCCAGAGCGCTAGGATTATAAGTGTGAGCCACTGAGTCCAGCTCTTCATAGACTTAATATATTAGAATCTTCGGGGAAAGATTCTGGGAATCTACATTTCAAAAACTCTCCAGTGGTTCTGATGAAGCTAGCCTGATCCAGAGACCTGTGTTTGGGGTTCAAAAAATTATTTCTATGGATTTTTCCAACTAAAATTCTGTTTCTTTATGAAATTGCAGAGGCAAATTATTGAGAGAATAATTTCCATTATAAAAGAATATCTTGCATTAAGGGCAACTTTTCTAACTGACTTTAAAATTAAATTTATATTATTTGAGGCATAGGAAAGGAAGAAAAAACTTTTGGAGGCTACTTCTGAGAGGGGAAAATATTCAAATTAACTAACAACCCATTTGTATTCAACATACAAATAAATTAAAAAACAGCTATTGTGTAAAGAGAAAGCCCCAAAATGTTTCTCCCTAATTGATAAATTCTAGAATATTATTGTTGAGAGAGACCTAGAGAGACCAACTACACTTTACAGGGAAGAAGATGGATTCGTGTCCTATATCTCAAAGGAGGCAATTATGAGCATGAACCAGGGAAAGCTGCTTTTACTTTTATGCCTCTGCCAAGTTATTAAATCACCAGACTCCTAATCAAGAATTGCTCTTCCTGTGGAAGAACTCTTCTTCACCTATTGCTTCCTCATATTACTTCCTGCTTCAGAGATGAAGAGGAGCTTTAAAATTAGAATAGGAAGTCTGAGTCTAGACAAATCCCAGTGAGAGCTAAATTATGCAAATTTAGTCTTTGTAACAAATGAGTCCTAAATAGGCTGCCAAAGTATGAAAGCTTTCTTAACCCCAGGCATTGCAAATACAATGTATTATATTCAACAAAGAGAAAAAGGGAATGGGTGGGGAAAGTTAGGGATAGAAGATTGTCTAGAGAGAAGCTAGGAAAATGGAGAGTAATATAAAGCAAGACGTTCCAAGTGAAATGTTTTACTATTTTCTTGCCTGTTGAACCATACACAAATAGACAGTTATATAAAATAGATATTTAAAACAATTATGTCTTACTGCAGAGTAGAACATTTCTCTTAAGTAAGGGGGTCTATTTAGGTTTCTAGCAGTACAATTAAAGTCTCAATCTTTTCTTTTCCCCAACAGAGTTTCTATAATATACTCCTCAGAAAAGTAAAATTTGAATAAATGGCTTCCTTTATTTGAGATGAATGATATTGTCAAATGTAAAATAGCCTGCATTTTAAATGAATTAAACAATATATTTTTTAAAATTTAAAAAACCAAATAGAGCAAAAACCAATATATAAAAATACTTGGTCTATAGTCAATTAAATATAAAAATATGGGAAAATACCTTTATGAGCACCTTTTGAAGGGAAATTTCATCACAGATCTCAGATCAGAACATAAAACCCCATCTTGGAGTTTTAGAGCTCTAAAGTAAACCCTACTTTTCCTTGTTAGGATGAGTTGCAGATTATATTAAAGTACAAGAGTTGACTTTTTTAATGTCAATTGTTTCATCATCACTCTATGGTACATGTAAAGGCACAGATTGATGTATTTTTCTGGCATCTTCCTGACGCACCCTTGCCCTAAATAAATCTGTTTGCCAGGATCTTGTCGCTTAAATTAGCCATCTCAAACTCTTGGTCCTGCCAACACAGGCAATTGTGCCAATGTTCTCAGCATCTACTGGCACATGAGCTGTTGCCTTTTTCTTTGGCTTTCCACGTGTACCTGGGGCCATCATCCTTCCTTCACAAGACAGCAGCCTGGCTTAGTAGTCCCTGAGAAAGACTTCAGGATTGGTTGGACTCACTCTGGTTCTCTCCAGGGTGTGCATCCTGCATGATATATTTTCAGCCACACAATGTATTGTTTAGAATTTGTCGTGCACATACTTGCAGATTGGCAGAGCCACCTGCCAGAGATGAGAACCTTTTAAGTTGTTGTCAAACGTCATAAAATGTGTTCCATGATTAATTTTGTGGGCACAGATTGGTTTTTGCACGGAGTCCAAAATTTGGGATATGTCACAGTGACTAAATGGCACTGGCATGCTGAATGAATTTGGAATTTGTTTTGTTAAGTGTGGGAGCAGGCACACAGATGGGCTTTGATCCAGTGGTGCTGCTGCTTGGAATTCTCATTATAGCAATGATGTCACTCGTCACGTGGAGTGGGTGATAATGCTGCCAGATTGTAGAAAAAGCAAGGCAAATAAGAAAGTACACAGGCCAAAAGAAAGGGCTTAGGTAGTATAGGAAGCTTTCATTATCAGATGACTTCTTCTTAATGGACATAAATATTGTTTCATGACTGCCAAAAATATGCATAGTAAAAATACAAGCAGAGAAGAAAACTTCCAACTGAAAGGGCCCTTTAAGAAGGGCCCATATAACCTAGAAGTCTTCTCAGAGAAGATCAAGTACAATAAACATATCCTTGATTTTTAGATTAAGCTATGAAAGAAATCTTTGAGCTACAAGCAAGAGTCTTTTTGCAATATCTAGTCAAACCCAAGCCAAGGCATTTTGCTTTATAAAAAAGCTTTGTCTATTCAGAGGGTTAGCAATCATGCTGGGAAATGGAGAAAAAAACCCTTATAATGCCAAAGAAATACAGTATATTCTCACCAAGTATGTGCATCAGAATTCTCTATGGGGCTTTAAAAATATTCATGATGCAGCTAAAGCAGCACTTAGAGGGAAATTTATAGCTGTAAGTGCCTATGTTAAAAAAGAAGAAAAATCTCAAATCAATAACCTAACCTTCTATCTTATGACACTTGAAAAAGAATAGCAAATTAAACCCAAGCTAAGTAACAGGAAAAAACCTAGCAAAGGTTAGAGCAGAAATGGAATAAAATAAAAACAATATGGAGTAGAAAATAATAGAATAGAAATAAAAGCAATTGAGAAAGTCAATGAAATTAAAATTTGGTTTCTTGAAAATATCAACAAAATTGACAATCCATTAGCTAGACTGACAAGGAAAAAAAGAGAAATTACTAAAATGGGAAATGAAAGGAGGGATATTACTACCAACATTAAAAGAATATAAAGAAGTATGAGGGAATGCTATGAAAATGTCTCTCTCTCTCTCTCTTTCTCTTTTTCCCATACACACACACACACTCCCCCGTATACTACAGATAATTATATAACCATACATATGCTAATTGTATATATTCATGCTAGAGGCCCACCATGTAGATTTTTGATTCAAAAACTCTCAAGTATGGCATGAACATTTATATTTTCTGAAAATATGAAAGTTTTTGTGACATGCACTTTTTGTTGGGAACTACTGACTCAGCATTTAGTAAGTATTAAAAATATTGTTGAGTTACAATTAAACATGTATTAATTAGGATTAGGAACTGCTGCATATAAATACAAAAGTCCAAAATAATAATGCATTTAAAGTGAGTAAAAGAAACCCCAAAATAAGTAATTTGGGAC